ATGACGTTGGTATTGTGTGATTCTAAATAATTTTAAAATATTACCCATTTAAGCCGTCTCCAGCCATTATTAGCTTCTATATTGTTTTAGAACCAGAATATAATAACCTAATCTAGTTTTTGTTTCTACTTTTCTGTTTGTTTTCATTTATCATTTTGGTTCCTGTTCGAATCTTATCTTCTTGAAAATTAAGATTGTGTTATTTTACGATAACCAATTATAAACTTTGAATTTTTCTTCACGTGTAGGTTCGTCTTGTGGGAAACAAAACAGTCATTGCCATAAGTCCGCACATTCAGGTGATTTGGAGTTCTCACTACCACCTCAGTGTTCCTCAGCCCTACATCTTCCCCTGCCAGGAGGGTGTTTTGACGATATATGAGTATCCACCGTGTATTTTGACAGAAGACAGAATTAGAGTATATGGACGTCGTTTGTCATCATCGACAACAGACTACATCTTCGAAACTAAGGTCTCCACCAGCAAACACGCCTTGGCTCTACCATGCGGTATCTTCAGTTCCCAGTATCAGTCGTTTTGTTTCACATATACCAGTGTGGCGGCCAGCGGTGCCGTATTCGAATTAAAGACATTCTGCCGTCCTCGAAATATCGAACAAGGTATACTTTCCACTTTATCACAGATAGTATATCTCCCTGGATAGGACCCATAAAAACATGTTACACATAGATAAGAAACTCGGTTTATAAATTGGTTAGCTTCGTGGTATTATATATAGATCCATTAGTTTCAAGCTAGATCTTAGAAGCTGGTGTTTTATAAACACGAAATGCGACTATGAGAAGTGACAAAGAGAAACATGGTCCTTAATCTCAGGGATTAAAAAAAATTGTTTAACTGATCTACAAGAGGCAACAACTCAGAGGAAATGAACTTCTAATCTGGCCTATGAGATGTTACAGTAGGAAACATAGCCCTTAATTCTAATGATAAAATATGAATTAATATAAATGTACAAATATATTCTAATGATAAAATATGAACTAATATAAATGTAAAGATATATTCCCACGTTAAAATATGAATTCACATAAATGTACAGATATATATACTAATGATAAAATATGAATTAATATAAATGTATAGATATATTCCCATGATAAAATATGGATTAATGTAAATATATAGATATATTTTAATGATAAAATATGAATTAATATAAATGTATAGATATATTCCCATGGTAAAATATGAATTCATATAAATGTACAGATATATTCTAATGATAAAATATGAATTAATATAAATGTATAGATATATTCTAATGATAAAATATGAATTAATGTAAATATATAGATATATTCTAATGATAAAATATGAATTAATATAAATGTATAGATATATTTCCATGATAAAATATGAATTAATGTAAATATATAGATATATTCTAATGATAAAATATGAATTAATATAAATGTATAGATATATTTCCATGGTAAAATATGAATTAATATAAATGTATAGATATATTCTAATGATAAAATATGAATTCATATAAATGTACAGATATATTCTAATGATAAAATATGAATTAATGTAAATGTACAGTTATATTCTAATGATAAAATATGAATTAATATAAATGTACAGATATATTCTAATGATAAAATATGAATTAATATAAATGTATAGATATATTCTCATGGTAAAATATGAATTAATATAAATGTATAGATATATTCTCAGGGTAAAATATGAATTAATGTAAATGTAGAAATATATTCTAATGATAAAATATGAATAATATAAATGTATAGATATATTATACATGATTTGATTTATTCAACTAATAATTCAACGGTGAAAGATTAATTAAAGTTAAATAACCTAAGATACACCAGTTTGAATTTAATAAGTATTATATGTTGACTCAATCTACTAGGAAGAAGAAGGGCAAGCTGGAGCGGATGGAGTAATTGGTCTCGTTGTTCTTCCACTTGTGGTGCTGGTATTCGTAGCCGATACCGTCTTTGCCATTCTCCCAGTTCTGCTAGTTACTGCTCAGGAAAATCGATAGAGTCCGTCGTCTGTGTTGTAAAAGAATGCATTGGTTAGTTTACTGTTGTATTCTAGTTGTCAATTCATGTATTAAGGCTAAGCTAGATTGAAATGTACACAAGCCTATTAGTAAACTAGACTCTTCTAAAACCTGATACAGCTAAACTATATTCAATGTTTTCAGTAAGCTTATGGTCAGTGGATGTCAGTTATTATCTTGGTTAATGTTGTTATCCTTTATGTTACACTCTATCCTGTAGTGTTTATGTCATGTTGTGACCGTGTTGTTATCCTTTAAGATACACGTTATCCTGTAACGTGTATGTCAGGTTGTGACCTTGTTGTTATCTTTTATTTTACACTTTATCCTGTAATGTGTATGTCAGATTGTGACTGTGTTGTTATCCTTTAAGATACACTTTATCCTGTAATATGTATGTCAGGTTGTGATCTTGCTGTAATTCTTTAAGCTACACTTTATCCTGTAATATGTATGTGCCTATTGGATTTTTACTTCAAGATAATAACAGAGACATTTCCTCCCCAGAAGAAACCACACTCATGACTGAAGACTTCTTGCAACATCTCGAGTGCAACTGTAGCTGTAACTTGAACATTACTGGTAATGGAACTCTAGTTGTGAAACTACTTTATTGTGACCATGTTCCTCTATTCTGGACACTTAAGGCCTTGCCTGAGGGCTCTCTAAACATCATGTTTCATGAAGTAAATCTTGACTCCCAGTTCTGGCTCACCGTTCGAGAAGGTGCATCTATAGTGGGGCCAATTCTGGCAATAGTAACTAATCAGATGACATCTGTGTTTGTAAACTCACACAGTTCAACTGTACGAATAGAGCTACAATCGTCTAATGTATCAATTATTCCTGAAGGAGAAATCACCCTAAAGTTCTTCAAGGAAAGTAAGTGTTTGTTAGAGTTTACTCACCCTCAAGTTCTTCAAGGAAAATGTTTGTTACAGTTTACTCACCCTCAAGTTCTTCAAGGAAAGTGTTTGTTAGAGTTTACTCACCCTCAAGTTCTTCAAGGAAAGTAAGTGTTTGTTAGAGTTTACTCACCCTCAAGTTCTTCAAGGAAAGTGTTTGTTAGAGTTTACTCACCCTCAAGTTCTTCAAAGAAAGTAAGTGTTTGTTAGAGTTTACTCACCCTCAAGTTCTTCAAAGAAAGTAAGTGTTTGTTAAAGTTTACTCACCCTCAAGTTCTTCAAGGAAAGTGTTTGTTAGAGTTTACTCACCCTCAAGTTCTTCAAAGAAAGTAAGTGTTTGTTAGAGTTTACTCACCCTCATGTTCTTCAAGGAAAGTGTTTGTTAGAGTTTACTCACCCTCAAGTTCTTCAAAGAAAGTAAGTGTTTGTTAGAGTTTACTCACCCTCAAGTTCTTCAAAGAAAGTAAGTGTTTGTTAGAGTTTACTCACCATCAAGTTCTTCAAAGAAAGTAAGTGTTTGTTAGAATTTACTCACCCTCATGTTCTTCAATGAAATAAGTGTTGGTTAGAGTTTACTCACCCTCAAGTTCTTCAAGGAAAGTAACTATTCATTAAGAGTTAACTCTCCCTCATGTTCTTCAATGAAATAAGTGTGTGTTAGAGTTTACTCACCCTCATGTTCTTCAATGAAATAAGTGTTGGTTAGAGTTTACTCACCCTCAAGTTCTTCAAGGAAAGTAAGTGTTTGTTAGAGTTTACTCACCCTCAAGTTCTTCAAGGAAAGTGTTTGTTAGAATTTACTCACCCTCATGTTCTTCAATGAAATAACTGTTGGTTAGAGTTTACTCACCCTCAAGTTCTTCAAGGAAAGTAACTATTCATTAAGAGTTAACTCTCCTTCATGTTCTTAAAGAGAAGTATTTGTTAGAGTTTACTCATCCTCAAATTCTTCAAGAGACATAAGTTTTACCCTCAAGTTATGAAAGAGAAGTAAGGATGTGTTTTTTTAGGTTGAACTTCCAGTGATAAACTTAATGTTTAAAATCTAGCAAAATTACAACAATTGTCTAGAAAGTAGGGACATCATAGACTTTTTGATAAACTAAACATGCTTTGGTGTATTCATAAGGCATGTCCTAAGTTATACTCCATTTAAATGTTCATCTTTCATGCTGTGTTTTCTACAAATAAAGATTTGTGTATTTTTGGAATAGTCTTAATTGTTTTTTTTTGGTATTTTTATGCGATAGATTTGAAAGTAAGCAGTCTAACAGCTGATTGGAATGATACTCCTGGAAAGGCCCAGTTCAGCTCGGTACATTTAACGTTGGGGGCGATGGCTTTTGTTGTGAGTTGTGTAATTCTCATTATGCTCTTGTCAAAACAAATTTATAGCAAGTTTCGTCAGAAACATCACAGCGTCTCCTCCGAATCATTCAGTTCCTCTCTTTGTGATATTGGTGTTTCCATTCCAAAGGTCCACCTTCTAGGTGGCGCTACTTCGATCTCCGAACTCTCCTGCTCTCCACCATCTCTCCGACGCCAAATAACAACCCCTAAGAAGGTTTCTAGTCAAGAAAACATTAGTCCAGAAGATTTTCTCTACAATACATTTCTTTTTCACTCTACTAGTAGTATCTACACCCTCACTCCACCCTCATCGTCTCTGATCCAGCGTCGAGTTTTGATGTCAGGGTCCAAAAAAAAACTTTCTGTTTCACCAAAACCACAACCCAAAAGTGAGAGAGCTAGTCAAGTCCGTCGTCAGTTACTAAAGACTGCTAGAAAAGATAGGCCAGTAGACCGGTTAAAAGAAGAATCAGTGACACCTGGAGGTAAAGGAGCAGCTGCGTCCACACAGTCCTTATCAGAAGTATCGGTTGAAGGATCGGAGGATGGATTTGAGTATGATTACTATGACTACAGTTGCCATAATGATCCAGGATCTTTCTTCTGTACTGATCCTACATTAATGGGTTGGCCTCCTTTTATTCCTATCTATCCAGGAATGAGTGAGGAAGAGTTGCCACTTCGAGATTTCCCAATTATCCAGAAAGAGACAACTGACCAAGACTCTGGCGTATCTTAACGAACCGAGTTTCGACACCCACAACAACCAGTATACGTCACTAACTCTGTAACTTTGAAATTCAAATCTGAAAAAAGCTCATCAAATGAAAGTGTCCTTCACGATTATTTTCATAATCTGTATATAAAAAACACTACAAAATATACAATATTTAAATTAAATTATTTGTAGAGTATTTTTAATGATTTTAATAAACACTGTACTTAGAGACAAGGGTGATTTAATTACAAAACATGTGTTCTGAGAAGAAACTATACTCTTATAATACCAGTGTTTTAATAATAACAATATGTGTGTTTAATGGATATACTGTTTAACAACATCACCAGTGTTTTAATAATAATACCTGTGTTTAATGGAGATATTGTTTAGTAACATTTATTAAAACACTGGTGTAATAATACCTGTGTTTAGTGGAGATATTGTTTAGTAACAACACCAGTGTTTTAATAATAATACCTGTGTTTAGTGGATATACTGTTTAGTAACAACACCAGTGTTTTAATACTAATACCTGTGTTTAGTAAAGATACTGTTTAATAACATCACCAGAGTTTTAATACTTATACCTGTGTTTAGTGGAGATACTGTTTAGTAACAACACCAGTGTTTAATAATAATACCTGTGTTTAGTGAAGATACTGTTTAATAACAACACCAGTGTTTTAATAATAATACCTGTGTTTAGTGGATATACTGTTTAGTAATAGCAGTAGTGTTTTAATAAAAAAAATATTTATATCAAACAACCTCTCTACTTGATCAGTCCTTGTAAAAACTATAAGAACACTTTATTGTTTTGTTTTTACAGAGGCAAGACGTTGGTACTTTATCAGTCGTTGTGTTTGTTTAGATCTACATGCCGTTACTTGATCTGTCCTTATGGAGACTATAAGAATAAGTCTTTCAAAAATAAAGATCATACTTGATTAGTCCTTTGGGGGTCTATAAAAGTAGGTTTCTTTAGTACCAATAGTCGTTACTTGGTCAGTCCTTTTTTTAGGACTTTATCAGTCCTTGCTGGGACTCTAAGAATAAGTTTTTTTTCTAGAACCATTCTTCACTGCATGATCATTCTTTGTGAGATTTTATTCTATTAATCGTAATTTTTAGTATACCTTTTTAGTTTTATATTAGAATTATTCAAAGGACTTCATAATCCAAGAAGGGACAGTGTTGTTGGCTATATTTGTATTATTTTCAATATTATAATTTATATTTTTATTTCTAGAGAGTAGTAAGTGAAAGACAGTTTAAAATATAATAATTTGAGACTAAGTGGCTGAATTATTCTTCAGTGTCAATTAGAGAGTTAGGTAGCAAGAGTTATAGCTTGTATTTGTCTGTGTTTCAGTTTGTCAGTTCTGTGTCTTTAGTATCAGACAATTAGTTTCAGAATTTTCATCAAAACAATGTTTGTGAACTTAGGCCTATCAGTGAACATAACATTATTTACAATTTTTTTTATTGTTAGTTAAACTGGACTTCACATTACTAAACTCATAAATCAAAAAGAATCCGCCCAACGATAAAGCATGTTATAACATGTTTATGCTTATCAGCTAAGCATAGAGACAGTTTTAACAGCACATTTCTCTTAACATTCTAAGAAAAGTCACTATTTCTATACAATTTAACTTATAAAAGGAACAAAAATATAACTGAATATTAAATAAGGCAATACTGTGTGAATCAAAGAAATAGTCTACATTATGGAGAGAAAAGTTTTATTGTTTCAGACACTGTCTTTATATTTGAAAATCTTATGCTATCTTTAAAACTTATAGAAAAAACTAAGCCAGAAATTACACCAAACATAGATATAATATCACAGTAAAACACAATACTATGTGATGAGAAAAACGTTGTTATTAAGTGACATGTACAGGCTTGTTACAATGTGAAAAGTACAACATACAATTACATGATGAGTACAACATTGTTATTAAGTGACATGTACAGGCTTGTTACAATGTGAAAAGTACAACATAAAATTACATGATAAGTACAACATTGTTATTAAGTGACATGTACAGGCTTGATACAATGTGAAAAGTACAACATACAATTACATGATAAGTACAACATTGTTATTAAGTAAGCCTGTACATGTCAACTACTTATCATGTAATTTTATGTTGTACTTTTCACATTGTACTTATAACAATGTTGAAGCCTGTACATGTCAACAAGCCTGTACATGTCACTTGATAACAATGTTGTACTCATCATGTAATTTTATGTTGTACTTTTCACATTGTAACTACTTATCATGTAATTTTATGTTGTACTTTTCACATTGTTGTCACTTGATAACAATGTTGCCGTACAGGCTTGTTACAATGTGAAAAGTACAACATAAAATTACATGATGAATACAACATTAATATTACTTGACAGATACACCCTTGTTACAGTGTTAAGAGTACAACACAAAACTACATGATGAACACAACATTGTTATTACTTGACAAGTACATCCTTTTTACAATGTGAAGAGTAAAACACAAAACTATGTGATGAATACAACATTGTTATGACTTGACAGGTACATCCTTGTTACGGTGTTAAAAGTACAACAGTGTTATTACTTGACAAATACACCCTTGTTACAATATGAAGAGTTCAAAACAAAACTATGTGATGAATACAATATTAATATTATGTGACAGGTACATCCTTGTTACAGTGTTAAGAGTACAACACAAAACTACGTGATGAATACAACATCATTATTACTTGACAAGTACACCCTTATTACAGTGTTAAGAGTACAACACAAAACTACGTGATGAATACAACATCATTATTACTTGACAAGTACACCCTTGTTACAATGTGAAGAGTAAAACACAAAACTATGTGATGAATACAACATTGTTATTACTTGACAATTAAACCCTTGTTACAATGTTAAGAGTACAACACAAAACTATGTGATGAATACAACATCGTTATTACTTGACAGGCTTGACAGATGTTACAATTTGAAGAGTACAACACAAAACTATGATGAATACAACATTATTATTACTTGACAAGTACACCCTTGTTACAATGTGAAGAGTTCAACACAAAACTATGTGATTAATGCAACATTAATATTATGTGACAGGTACATCCTTGTTACAGTGTTAAGAGTACAACACAAAACTAAGTGGTGAATACAACATCATTATTAATTGACAAGTACACCCTTATTACAGTGTTAAGAGTACAACACAAAACTGTGTGATGAATACAACATCATTATTACTTCACAGGTACATCCTTGTTACAGTGTTAAGAGTACAACATCATTATTACTTGACAAGTACACCCTTGTTACAATGTGAAGAGTACAACACAAAACTATGTGATGAATACAACATTAATATTACGAGACAGGTACATCCTTGTTACAGTGTTAAGAGTACAACACAAAACTATGTGATGAATACAACATTAATATTACATGACAAGTACATCCTTGTTACAGTGTTAAGAGTACAACACAAAACTATG